GTCCTGCAGCGAAGACAAGACGGTGAAGCTGTGGATAGGGGAGCCCCCCTCGCAGCAGCAGCAGCAACAGCAGCAGCAGCAGCAGCTGCTGCTGCAGCAGCAGGATATGCTCGTCAGCCCTGCACCCTCACAGTATAAGTGGCGGCTGCTGCAGACGCTTGTCTTTGATGCCCCCGCATGGAGGGTCACCTGGAGCAGCAGCGGGGCCCTTCTTGCTGTTGCATGCGGCGACTCAGCTGTGCTGCTGCTGAAGGAGAACATGCACGGCACCTGGGAGCTTGTTACTGACTTAGCAGAGAAAGCAGCAGTGCAGCAGGAGCAGCAGCAGCAGCAGCAGCAACAGCAGCAGCAGCAGCAGCAGCAGCAGCAGCAGCAGCAACTCCTGCAGCAGCAGCAGCAAATGCCACAGTTTCAGCAACAAATGCCGCAAATGCAGCAAATGAATATGCAGCAGCAACACACACAGCCGCAGCTCATGCAGCAGCAGCAGCAGCAGCAGCAGCAGCCGCTGCAGCAGCAGCAGCACCCAATGATGCAGCAGCAGCCGCAGCTGCATCAACAGCAACCGATGCAGCAGCAACCGCTGCAGCAGCAGCAGCAGCAGCCGGCACCGCAGCTGGGCCCCATGGGTAACATGCCGCCTATGGGGGCCCCCTTAGGAGGCGTGCGGCCCCCCCCACTGATGCCAGCAGCAGCAGCAGCAGCAGCAGCAGGAATGCAGCAGCAGCACCCTGGAGGGGTCCCGCAGCAGCAGCAGCCTTTGCAGCAGCAGCACATGCCGCCGCCGCAGCAGCACATGCCGCCACAGCAGCAGCATATGCCGCAGCAGCAGCACCAGCCTGCTGCAGGCACTGGGTTTATGCCCCCTACATCGATGCAGCAGCAGCAGCAGCAGCAGCAGCCAGGAGGCCGTCTACCGATGCCTCCCCCTACGGGTGCTCTAGGAGTTTCTTCTGCTGTTGGTGCTGCTGCTCCTGCTGCTGCTGCTGCTGCTGCTGCTGCTGGGCCCTCAGCACCGCCTGCAGCACCGCAGCCTTTCCTCATGGGGGGGGGGCCCCCCCCGCTGCCTCGTCCGGGGGCCTTTGGGGCCCCCCCTCTGCCGCCCCAGGGCCCCCAGGGTTCAGCTTTTGCTGCTCAGGGGCCCCCCCCCATGAGGGCCCCCATGGCGCCCCCTATGGGCCCCGCAGGGTACTGACGGGGGCCCCTGTGCTGCTGCGGCAGCAGAGGGGGCCCCTGCGCTGCGGCTGCTCTTCGGGGGGCCCCCATGGGGGCCCCCTGGGGGGCCCCCGGGGCCCCCGTCTAGTGCTCGCTTGCACGAGCAGCCACAGGCAAATGTTTATAAAGACAAGTAATAGAATATAAATATATAGAAACACAGAAACAGAAAGGAAACAGAGACACAGAAAGGAGACAGAGAAAGGAGACAAAAAGAGAGACAGAGACAGAGAGACAGAGAAAGGAGACAGAGACAGAGAGAGGAGACAGAGAGAGAAAGAGACAGAGAAAGGAGACAGAGAAAGAAAGGAGACAGAGAGAGACAGGATGCAGATAGAGCAGCAGTATACAAAAAAGAGATAGAAAGAGACAAACTAACCACAAATGCAGTAAACTATGATTTATAGAGAAAAAATAAATAA